GTGTGTGTGTGTGTGTGAGTGTGAGTGTGTGTGAGTGTGAGTGTGTGAGTATGTGTGTGTGTGTGAGTGTGAGTGTGTGTGAGTGTGAGTGTGTGAGTGTGTGTGTGTGTGTGAGTGTGTGTGGTCTCTTGGGGGAGTTTGGATCGACTGGACCTGCATTGACCGGATGAGAAACTGCGACGTTGTTCCTTCTGGAACAAAAGATTCATTTAAACGTTGAAAACCTACAGAAAGGTGGGACACAGGGACAGCAGAGATTCTGGGAATGTTGGCCTTTATTTCAAGGGGTTTGGAGTGTAAGAGTAGGGACGTTTAACTGCAACTGTACAAGGTGCTGGGGAGACCACATCTGTGAGCAGTTTACTGAAGGAAAGATATCATTTCATTGGAGGCCGTTCAGAGAAGATTCATTACGATGATCCCCGGTGTGCAGGCACTGTCTTATGAGCAAAGGCTGAACAGTTTGGGACTCTACTCACGGGAGTTTAGAAGAATGAGAGGTGATCTCTTTGAAACATATTAAGGGGCTTGACATGGTCAATGCTGAGAGGATGTTTCCCCTCACGGGAGAGTCTGGGACCAGAGGGCACAGTCTCGGAATGAAGGGGCACCTGAGATAAGGAGGAATTTCTTCTATCAGAGGGTTGTGTGTCTTTACAATTCCTTTCCACAGAGAGCTGTGGGGGCAGAATCCTTGTGTATATTGAAGGCTGAGACAGATAGATTCGGGGAAAGGGCAGGAAAGTGGATGTGAGGAATGTCAGATCAGTCACAATCCTACTGCATGGTGGAGAAGGCTCGAGGGGGCTGAATGGCCTACCTCCTGTTCCTATTTCTTTTTATGTTTGTAATCTTCTCAATCTGGGCCTACTTGGTGGGTTGGGCGGCTGGGAGGGTGATGGCCACCGGCTATTCCCAAAACCTGGTCCAACTGGTGACTCCTCCCATAGGCCAACCAGGAATGACATCCCAGGACGAGGGCACGGGATGGCTCCTGCAGCTCCTCAAGGAGGTTCAGCTCGAACAGTTCTACCTGAGGATCCGTGATGACCTCAACGTCACCCGCCTCTCGCACTTCGACTTCGTCAAGACCATGGACCTGGAGCGGATCGGGATGGGTCGGCCGGGTAGGGAACGTTTCCGATTCAATCCAGGGGGAGCGCAGCCCGTCGTCTCCCGCACCCTTCCCGGCCGGCTCAAGAGCGAGCTTCCCCTCTCTCAGCAGACCTGCTCTCATGGCAGGATCACTAACGCAATCTCACCTCCATACTCCGCGAGATGCACCGGCACGGTCGCACACTCCTCAATTGTCCCCCTTACCCCGAGCTCTGGCATTACCTGCGGTTTGTAAATAACATTTATCGTGGGGGGGTGGTCAAAGTATATATTCAGAGTCTTCCAAATCTCTCCTGTCTGCTGCTCAGTAAGATCCCAGACCGGAATACAGCTTGCAGCTGTCATCCCAGCTCCGATATCAGGATCACTACTCTTAATTGCTCAGGCTATTTATTTACCTCTGTCACAATTTCGTGGCTTTGTCACGCAATCTGGAACGAATGTCAATCCCCATCCATTTCCACAGTGAAAAAGCGGGAGGATAATTCACAGCCTTTCTGGCTCCCCATACCCCCCACCACCCCCAACCTCAGCACTTTCCATTTGATCCCCTCCTGGCTGTGTTTTTACAAATTGTAAGTGGCTCCCTTACAGCTCTGGAAATACACTCAATCTCAGCTTCACTTCTGACACCATAGAGTCGTACAGCATGGAATCAGACCCTTCGGCCCAACCTAAACTAGTCCCACCTGCCTGCTCCTGGCCCATATCCCTCCAAGCCATTTTTGTTCACGTACTTATCCAAATGACTTTTTAACTGTGACTGCATCCACATCCACCACTTCCACACCGAACCACCCTCTGTGTAAAAAATAATTGCCCCTTGTGTAGAATTATAGAATCCCTATACAGTGTGGAAACAGGCCAACAAATCCACACAGAGCAACATCCTACCCCAGGCTCACATCCCTACCCCATCCCTGCCTTTTTAAAATCCATCTCCTCTCACCTTAAAAATGTGCCCCTGCATTTTGAAAATCCCCCGCACAGAGAAAAGGCAGTTAACCCTGTCTGTGCCCCTCATGAGTTTATAAACTTCTATCAGGTCGCCTCCCAACCTCTTACGCTCCAGTGAAACAAGTCCCAGTCTATCCAAACTCCCCTTATAACTCAAACCCTCCTTTCCTGGCAACATCCTGGTAAATCTCTTCCGAACCCTCTCCAGCTTCATAATATCCTTCCTATAACATGGTGACCAGAACTGGACACAGTGCTCCAGAAGAGGCCTCACCAATATCCTGTACAACCTCAACATAACGTCCCCAACTCCTATTCTCAAAGGTCTGAGCAATGAAGGCAAGCGTGCTAAACACCTTCTTCCCCACCCTGTGACACAAACTTCAAAGAATGATGTGCCTGAAGCCCCTAGGTCCCTCTGTTCTGCAGCACTGCCCAAGGCAGGTCACTTGATTACACGACACACAGTCGCATCCCTTCAGAGGCCCAGACTAATTCACGGGGAATGTGGGTTCAAATCTCACCCCATCTTCTCGTGGAATTTAAATCCAATTTGTAAAATCCAGAATTGAAAGCTAGTCTCAGTGATTATAACCATGACAACCATCATTGATCACCTGTAAAATCCCCCATCGCGTTCCCTAATGCCCCTTTAGGGAAGGAAAGCTTACCCACTCTGGGCCTACACGTGACTCCAGACCCACAGCAATGGGGTTAACTCCTAACTGTCCCTTTGAAACGGCCACGCCGCTCAGACCAAGGGGCAATTAGGGATGGGCAACAAATGTCAGCCTTGCCCATCCCATGCAAGAATAAAGAAACAATAGGATTTGTCGGAACAATTTTAAAACAGTTTACTGTGTGACATGGTCAAAGCTCAGTGACAATTCCTACTGTTTCTCTCTCTCTTTCTGTCTCTCTTCATCTCCCTCTCTCTCCCTTTCTGTCCCTCTCTCTCTGTCACTCTCTCTCTCTCTTTATCACTTTATGTGTGTTTGTCTCTCTCTCTCTCTGTCACTCTGTCTCTCTCTCTCTCCCGTTCTGCCGCTGTCTCTCTCTCTGTCTGTCCCTCTCTCTCTGTCACTGTCTCCATCTCTCTCTGTCCCTGTCTCTCTCTGTCTGTCCCTCTCTCT